ACAAAAATTTTGATGGTGCATAGATAGGGAACTTTTAAAGTTTAGGTGCTATTGAAGGAAGAGCAGTTTTTGTTGATGCTAGATAGGGATTATGTACCCATCCAATCTTTCCCCAATTTTATCATATTTTTTTGGGTATAGGTTGCCTATGTCATGTAGCTTCGAGCTATTCAAATGATAAGCCAATCCTATCTTTAATGATAAACTTGGGGTCTGTTCACTTTGATGTAAAAAAAACCTTACCAAATTTTGGCAATTAAATTTTGGCATAGTTGCCAAAATTTTGGCAGGATTTCTTATATAGTTACCAAAATTTGGTAGCAAACTAAATGTAGCCACTTTTTTGGCAACTTTATCAAAATTTGGTAAGGTTGAAAATGGCATCAAAGTGAAGCCCTCAAAAAGATGATCTCTTTATAAGGATGGAATCTTGAAATCTCATTATCTTCATCGCGTTCTCTCCACCTCCCTGTGCCTCTACAACATCATCGTTATCAGAGTACCATTCAAACTTATCTTCAAGTAGTGCTTCAGTGTTTTCCTCTAGTGAAATATCCTCACCGTCAGCATTATAGAACCATGATCCCGCAATTTTTTCACAATAGAGATTATAGTTGACATCCCGTAGGATCCAGGGTCCATGAACTTGCTGGCCATATTTCCAACTTGGCAGCAAGGGTTTAAGGCCATTTTGATGCTTTAATACCCACTCGGCCTTATAGCACATGACTCATTAAGAACCCAAACTGAAAGCGAATAGTCATATGTAAATGATGCTAAGTATACCCCTTTCTCTGATTTTCCAAAATAAAAATTTTGATAATAGCGTATGTCAATAGCTGGCAGAAGTTTGATTACTCGATATTTTCCATCCGACATGGATAACCTACATGAAACAAAAAAAAATAAGCAGACGTTAGTAAATACTTCCTCCGTTTCATATTATAAGACTTTCTAATATTGCCCACATTCATATATATGTTAATGAATCTAGACATATATGTTAACATCTAGAGTTTTGCTCCCATCCAGCAGGTACCATCGGTACTGTCCGGTATCAAATCTCAGCCATTCAATCAGCGAAATCGGACGGTGGAAAATAAGTGGTATCTCCAGGTACAAATTTGCCCATGAGGAGGTACTGGAATATTTCGAGTGGTGGAAGGGTAAATTTGTCTTTTCGCGTAGGAGTGTCCAAGGGGAGGAAATAGGGTTTTCTACCAAATCTCAGTCATTCCCTTCTGATCCGATCCGTGGGAGGCAGCGGCTAGTTGCTTCGTGCTTCGTCGGCGGCAGCTTGCTTCGTGGGAGGAGGCGGCATGGCGGCGGCTGGTCCGTTTGAGGCGGCGGCGAGGTGCTACGTGGGAGGCACGGCGATGAGGTGCTCCGTGGGAGGCGAGGCGGCGGTGGCGGCGGCGGGTGGTTCGTGGCGGCGAGGTTATGGTGGGCGCAGTGGTGGTGGGTGCGGCAGTGGCCTGGTGCTGCTGGTGGCGGGCGTGGCGGTGACCTGGTAGTGGCCGCGGTCACGAGGTGGTGGCGACGGGCACGATGGTGCCGGCCGCGGTGACGAGGTGGTCGTCGGAGCCAGCGTTGTGGCAACTGCAGCGGCGAGGTGGTCGTGGAGTCGTCTTAGCAGGCAATGTGGCAGTGTATGCATACTGGATCGATTTCTTTTCATCCGATCGAAATCATTAGCTTCTGTTGGTTGCAGCAGTAGATACTTTTATTTTCTGGGCTGCATATGCTCTTCTTCTTCATTGCTTATGGGATTTGTACTGTACGATTTATTGATGTTTTGATGAGCTCAATCGTTGCTTGTTCTCTGTGAATGTTCAAATGTTCAATACCGTCCCATATCAAAACAGAGAAAGAGCGAAAAGGAGAAGGCGAGGGCGCAACTCTTTTCTCTGTTTCCCGATCGTACCCTTCTAACATGAACGGATGGATTTATCTCAGTACCTGCCAGTATAAGTTGCTGGATGGGAGCAACGCTCTAAGATTTATATGAATATGGGCAATGCTAGAAAATCTTATAATCTGAAACGGAGGTAGTATGAAGGATTAAAATTAATGTCGTTTTTAAGAGAAGTGCGTTAAAAGAAAATACGGTTATGTGAGTGTACCTTATAACATAACTAAAATGATGCACGTAAAGAGCTCCCGGCCAGTAGACAGCACGGTATTCTCCATATTCCGATAATTTCTGTAGGTGGCCGACGGTGCCCGCAGCTTCCCCTTCTCTCACGAATGGTCGATCCTCCCATCGCTTTGTAGCCGATGAGAAAACACGTGTGATCAATCGCGATGGTGGCCATTCTAATTCCTGCACGATTGGGTTCAACTCCCTATGTTGCAAATAGATGGGGGATATTGATCACCTCTTAGTGCGGTGATATGGTGGGCTCGAACACGAGGTAGTTTTTGCCACCGAATCCATAATATTCGGTGAACGTATCGGACAATGACGGCAAGGGCGACCACTGTTGCGTGGCTGGATTAATCACGCCGAAGCCAACCAAGAGGAGGCCATTGCAGTGATCACGGACGATGTACTGCCTGTACATGGAGGGAAAGGAAACTAAGCTTGCCGCTGGTCGCAGCTGCAGAGCTCGTTATTGTCGACATCGGCTGGCGGGAGAAGAACTCCGGAAACCAGAGATCTCCGTAGCAGATGAAGATGTCAACTCACGAGAGCGGGAGAAGGTCCGTGCGTAGCAGCCGGCGGTCATCGATGACGGCCCGCCAGTCCGCGCAGACGCACCGCGCCGCGGCGAGGCTGCGCGGCGGAAGGCGGCCAAGGATGTTGGCGAGCACATCGTCGGGTAGCAGCAGCTGCTCCATTGAATTATAATGTAACTAATATGTAACTATACTATAACTTACACTGTAACTCATACGTAATTATATTGTAAGTCGTATGTAATAAAAAATAAAACTTATAAAAAAACATATGGTGAACTCAAGGGCATGAAGCCGAATCTCGGCTGTTGCACTTGCTAATTTTTTTTTCTCATACTTACTGGCATGAATCTTAGAGCAAATCTAACGGTCCAAAAATAAAAACTTTTCTTAAAAAAAAAACTATCGACGGTAATCCAGGAATTCCGTTTTCCTTTTTTTTTTTTGACATGAATCCTTCTTTTCTTTTTCCCGATATATGATATGTGGGCTTTTTTCAAGTGATTTTTTTCTCATAGCTGGGCATTTTTATTAGGAGTGGGCCCAAATCTTAGTGGCAAAGCGCCAAACACAAAAGTCTCACAGCTCACATGCTCTTTTTTTAGTATATATTATTTTGTAAATTTGTTTTTAATGTTTATATTTATAAAAATTGTAGCTCGCACAGAGTTTTTAGAGTTTTTATGCATATATGTATATGCCAGTGTTAAGGATAAGGCATACCTTATATACTTGGTGTTTGTGGTGTACGTAAATACCATATATACCTAAATATATACAGGAAAGTATCCTTTGATTGAGAAAATACATCGGATTAAGAAGAAAATTATTTTCGCGGGTTAGGTGTCAAAGACGGGGAAAACAAGTTTTAGTTGGAGAAGAAGTTGATTGTCTCAATAAATACCAGGTCCCCCATGCAGGGAGGGGCATCGAGTTACATGCTGTAACCAAAGTCACATCAAGATACAATCTAAAGGAAGCCTAAACCCTAGTTGTCGAATAGATCTTGTGGGCCATTCTCGATAGGTTTTAGTCAGAGGACTAGATCAGCCATCTTATTCTCCTATTGTAATCCTTGTGGCATTCCCATCCATATATACATGTAAACTGAAGTAGGATTATTACTCATCTTGAGAGTCCAAACTAGTATAAACCCTTGTTCCTTGTCTTTTAGACTACTCATCTTGAGAGTCCAAACTCGTATAAACCCTTGTTCCTTGTCTTTTAGATGCAGTCTTGTGTATACCTTGGTTCCAAAGATACTCATACTCTACAAATAACGTAGGCAGGTATCGCCTGTTGACAATGGCGCTCTAGGTAGGGGGCTTGGTGCTATATAAGATAACACAAAAATTATCAGAGGTATTTTTTATACCTCCATTTTTTTCAGCAAATAATCGCCCTAGTCCTCCCGTGAACAGTGCACTGGTTGGGATAACAAGAAGTTAGAAATTGGGCATATATATAGAAGGGTAAGACACCTCTAATGGATAGGGTGGACAATCCATCAAAGATGACTATTTTGGCACCTCTGAGGCCGTGACAAGTTGCCTATCTTCGCACCCTTCACAAGTGACTCCCTACTTGTGATGGGTCGTGAGATGTGAGCCGGTGATCTTTCTCAGATGTAAATTTCGGCCTCTCACAAGTGACTCCTTATCTGTGATAGGTCTTGCCCTCACAGCCTCATCTGTAACGGCCTCTAATTCAATCCGTTACAGATTAAATCATTCATGACAAGACACTTTGACCCATCATAGGTGGGTTGTTAATGTTGAACCGAGGTAGCGTGGTGGTGGCTTCTTTGATTGTTGAGCGGGTTGTGTTCTTCATCACTTGGTAGGAAGTAGGAACCCAAGAAGGTTAGAAGCCCACAACTATTATATCGTCGGCCTCATTGGTAAATGGGCTAGAAGCCTAGAGGCAATCTGATTCAATAGTGTCGGAAATTTGTGGATGGGCCAGAGACGTTGCGTCGTCTTCGACTCTTCGAGTGCCTGGCCTACGGATCTGCACGAATCTTAGAGCAAGTAGAAAATCGCATATCGTCGTGTAGAGCGCAGCACAAATTCGAGTTGCTTTTCCCTTTTTCGCAGCCAAATCTTACCTGCTCACGTGCCGTGCTGCCCGGTGTGCAGAGCCCACGCGCCACGGCGCCAGTGTACTACACCGAATCGGCACCATCCATCGCCACAGCTGGCCGGTCCCCCCTAAGACGGACGCTCCGGATCAATCCACGTTGGCATGGCTTCCCCGCATCGCCTTCTCCGCGCCCCCGCCTATATAATGGCGCTCTCGCTTCTCTTCCCCATTTCGTCTTCCCCTTCTCTAGAGCCTTCCTCTCACAGAGCACACACAAAACCCTAGAGTAGGAAGCGAGCGAGAGAGAGAGAGAGAGAGAGAGAGACCACACCCATGGAGCGCTCCCACCTCGCCGTCCTGCTCGGCCTCCTCGCCTTCGCCGCCGGGGTCCCGGCCGCAGCGGCGGCCACCGCCGTGGAGGGAGCGCAGGCGGCCACGGCGGAGGCGTCGTGCGAGCCCTCCATCCTCGCCACCCAGGTCTCGCTCTTCTGCGCGCCCGACATGCCCACCGCGCAGTGCTGCGAGCCGGTGGTGGCCTCCGTCGACCTCGGCGGCGGCGTACCCTGCCTCTGCCGCGTCGCCGCCGAGCCGCAGCTCATCATCTCCGGCCTCAACGCCACCCACCTCCTCACGCTGTACGCCGCCTGCGGAGGCCTCCGCCCTGGAGGCGCTCGCCTCGCCGCCGCCTGTGAAGGTACGTACATGCATAACCTCCTCCTCCTCCTCCTCCTCTCTCTCTCTCTCTCTCTCTCTCTCTCTCTCTCTCTCTCTCTCTCTCTCTCTCTCTCTCTCTCTCTCTCTCTCTCTCTCTCTCTCTCTCTCTCTCTCTCTCTCTCTCTCGGTTGGGGTTGCTGCCTTGCGTTTTTGGTTGGTTTTTCGTGGGTTGGGCGAGATCCTTCGAGTTGCTTGTGTTTTGTGGTATGCTAGGCTTCGAACGAGTTGCCGGCGTTGCTGTGTCGACCAACTCTCGTATGCTTATCTTTCAGCACATGAGTTTTGGCCTCGTTTTTACTCGGTTGTTGTATGCTACTTCTGAGATTTGAGTTCATCCACTGCTAAACTGACATCATAGATGAAGAATAGCAGCGGCGTTTGGTCGATTTTGATTCCTTTCTCTGGATGTTCGAGCTGATCTTGTGGTTATTGCTCGAAGCCTCGAAACGCTTGCGCACATGCAAGATCCAGCAACGTATAGATCTATAGTGGTGTTGTGCTTTTATTCGGATTTGTGGTTCAGTGTTTACGTGCGAAGTCACGCGTTCGATGTTTCCGCTTGAGCTCCATATCTATAGCACAAATCAATCATGTGCGTTGCGCGAGTTCAAGCTCGAGAGAAAAGAAAAGCATCAAGGCCACGGGGGGTTTTTGGGCCAGGTCGTGATTCTCCCTTGAACTCCGAATATACCGAGTTTATTATCTTTTGAGCGGATTTGGTGTTGAACTGGCAGGACTCAAAACCCACCCGTGGGACGATCGTTTTCTTTTCCTTTCGCTTTGTGTTCTCTGTCTCCTTTCCGTGAAATCTCTGCGTTTCCCTTCTGGTGCTTGTTATAGATGATTCTGGATCGAGCCGTGTATGCTCGTGCAGTGGTACGACTTGGCGATGAACGTGCTTGCGGAGCTAGTCGCAGTTCATCTTTCTTTTTTTTTTCCCTCGTTTCTTTTCTCGGCGTTTCATTCTCTACACCTCTTCTACTCGCCATGCATGTTCATCTCTCTCCGTGTTGGTCCTCATTTGGAGCCGATTCGAACCGGGCAGCACAGTGCTTTTTTTCTGTTTCGTTTTGGAGGTTTCCACTTTCGTGAAAAGGAAAGGGTCAAATCGAATCGCCCCCTGAACCATCCTTTGCAGAGCTTTTTTGGACGTTTCCGCCTTTCGTCAGAGACCATCTGCACTGCGCGTTTCTCCCCAACTCGATCGATTTTGCAGCTTTTAATCACTTTTTAGAAAAAGTTTTTAATCACTCGTCATCGATGTGATCTCTTGCTCTAATTGCATCTTCTCCGTAGGATTAGCACTTCCATGCTTCTTGTTTTGTCTGTTCAATTAGCCAAGAAACGAGTCAGTATACCTTCAAGATGCATGCAGATTTAAAATCGGCACTGCTCTTTATCTTGTTCTTGTTTTTGCAAGTTTTGGTTGGTTCAAAACTTATCTCTTCTGCAGCATTGCCTGCTGTGTACAGAAAGTTGGCAGGGGCATCGTGCAGCTTTTTTGCCTGCTGTGTGTAACGTTTTCTTTCCGTACGTTGCGTTCCGTTTCACGTCGCTTACCTCTGTTTCTTGGGGCGCAAGTTATGGCAGTACAGCCGTTGTTTCCACGTTGGAAGGACGGTTTTGCCCCTTCGCTTCCAGAAGCTTCCAGAGATTTTTCGAGTTTTTCTAATGTGTTTGTTATTGCTGTAACTCGTTCTAACGTGCAGGTCCCGCCCCACCGGCCTCCATCGTCACTGCCCCGCCGCCCCCGGTTGCTTTTCGCCGCAAGCCGCCGGCACGTAAGGCTGATTGATTCCCCTTCATCCACTGATTGTTAATGCGCGTGTAATCTTTGTGATTACTAACTTGCTGCTGGATGCTTTGCAGGCGAGGCACCTCCCCCACCGCCGGCGGCCGAGAAGCTCTCCCCGCCGCCTCAGCAGCACGACGACTCCGACCACAACAAGCGCGTCGGCCCACTCCCGAGAGGCTCTCCTCCCCCGTATGCCCAGTCCGTCCCGGTCGGCCCCGCCGCCGCTCCCCCGCCACCACGCTCCGGCGCCTCCTCGTCGCTCCAGGCGCCCCTCGCCGCCACCACCACCATCGTTGCCATCACCCTCATCGCCGCCGCCCAGTACTGAGGACACGCCGCCGCCGGCGCCCGCTCCCCAGAGCCATGATTCGTTCGCAGTATTTTTCATCCTGTTCTTTTGCTTCTCTCTCTGGCTACCCATGTATATGAGTTTGGAAGACGATGATTTGATCTAGTAGCGCGTTACCAAGTTTGCCTAGATTCGAGTAGTAGCTGTGGTACTATGCTGATGTCTCTTTGATCGCGTCGTCTCTAGAGCGTCCGCCGTTTTTGATCGATCACTAGCATGGCCGATGTGAGTCCAGCATGAAAAGTGGTCGAGGAGAACATTGTTGCTAAGTTTTTTTTTTGCTTTCTATCTCCAGTAGCTGAACAAGTATGTCAACTGAATGCTGCAATGAAGTGAATGGATGCAGTCTTAAATTTAGCCTTTCTGTTGCCAACTTCTTCCTCTGTTCTGTACGGTTCAGATGCTGCTTGTTCTGTTTATGCGATGGTGTTGCATTGTTGTGATGTGTGAAGTGCGCCCAATTCTGGGTGAACTCTGCAGTATTGGCAAGCTCTGATCGATACATAAAGAACTGAAATGTGCCGGCTTCTCCGCCTCCCGTTGCATGCTCTTGTGCGCGAGCTGCACAGCGCAACCGCGCCCTCCTCTGCACATCCATCGACACAAAGTCTCAAGTTGTTGCGCGTGTGCTCTACCAGGCACCGTGGCTCCTGCGGGCGTGCACGGGTCACATTCACATCGCACCCAAGTTGCGGACGTTTCAGCTGAGCACCTACCATCCGCAATGTTTGCCCACAGCTTGCTCGATGAAATGACTGGTTCATGTCAAAAGGTAAAAACTGACATTCTCACGCGGTAAATTCCCCTAAGCTTCATAGACCACCGCACTGTCATCCACTCGACCTGCCACGACACCCGCCACCGCAGAACGCGACACCCTGTGCCCACGGCCACCTACCCTGGCACGCACCGAGCCGAAGCCGGATAAGCACCCGAGTTGATCCCCATGAGACGTGGCGACTCGGCTGCCCTCTGCCACGGCAGACTCCCTCCACGTAGCCGCGCCCCCTCGCCACGTACCACCGCGCGGCGCCACTATAAATTGGCGCGCCAATTCCTTTCCTTCCTCATCGCTCGCAGCACAGTGCACACCGCAACGAGCGACACGGTAGACATGGCGACCCGAGCCAGAGCAACGATCCTTCTCCTCCTCGCGGCTGTCCTCTTCGCCGCGGCGGCGGCGGCCTCAGGTGAGGATCGCCGCCGCGAGACATCACTGCGGCGCTGCCTGCAGCGGTGCGAGCAGGACCGGCCGCCGTACGAGCGGGCCCGGTGCGTGCAGGAGTGCAAAGACCAGCAACAGCAGCAGCAGGAACGGCGACGAGAGCACGGCGGGCACGACGACGACCGCCGCGACCGCGACCGGCGCGGCGAGGGGTCGTCGGAGGAGGAGGACGAGGGCCGCGAGCGCGGAAGCCGGCGGCGGCCGTACGTGTTCGGCCGGCGCAGCTTCCGGCAAGTCGTCCGCAGCGACCAGGGCTCCGTCAGGCTCCTCCCGCCGTTCCACCAGGCGTCCAGCCTCCTGCGCGGCATCAAGAACTACCGCGTCGCGGTGCTCGAGGCGAACCCGCGCTCCTTCGTCATGCCGACCCACACGGACGCGCACTGCATCTGCTACGTCGCCCAAGGTACGCGCGCTCGCCGCCACGCGCCGCACGGCGCTGCGAGGTTGATTCGGTGATTTGTGTTCGAAGCTGGCGGCTAACTTCGGTTGTTTGATGCCGTGGCGTAGGCGAGGGAGTGGTGGCGATCATCGAGAACGGCGAGAAGTGGTCGTACGCCATCCGGCAAGGCGACGTCTTCGTGGCGCCGGCGGGGACGATCAATTACTTGGCCAACACCGACGGCCGGAGGAAGCTGATCGTTACCAAGATTCTCCATACCATCTCCGTCCCTGGCCAGATCCAGGCACGAACACGATCGATCAAATCACTATTCATAAACTCTAATCAACTCTCTACGCACAAGTAATCAATCAATCAATCAATCAATGTTGCAGTTCTTCTTCGCCCCAGGCGGGAGGAACCCGGAGTCATTCTTGTCGAGCTTCAGCAAGGGCGTGCAGAGAGCTGCTTTCAAGGCACGTAGTAGCATTAATCCGATCAATCTGTCACTTAAGTACTTGATTAACATATTGGTTATACAGCAAGGATAATAAGTTAATAACTAATTAAGTTGATATCGACGTACGAGTTGTGTGGTGCAATGTTTAGATTTCGGAGGAGAAGCTGGAGAAGCTGCTGGGGAAGCAGGACAAGGGGGTGATCATCCGCGCGTCGGAGGAGCAGGTGCGGGAGCTGCGGCGCCACGCGTCGGAGGGCGGCCACGGCCCGCACTGGCCGCTGCCGCCGTTCGGCGAGTCGTCGCGCGGCCCCTTCAACATCCTGGAGCAGAGGCCCAGGTTCGCCAACCGCCACGGCCGCCTCTACGAGGCCGACGCCCGCAGCTTCCACGACCTCGCCGAGCACGACATCCGCGTCGCCGTCGTCAACATCACCGCGGTGCGTTTGCTTCGTCGTCCACGCGCCATGGCGGCGCGTGACCGTGTGTACATTGGACCGATTGGTATATGATTTCGTCTGCGTTGCATGCAGGGATCCATGAACGCGCCGTTCTACAACACCCGGTCGGTCAAGGTCGCCTACGTCCTGGACGGCGAGGGGGAGGCCGAGATCGTGTGCCCGCACCTGTCGCGCGGCGGCCGCGGCGGCGAGAGCGAGGAGCGCCGGCGCGAGCGCGGCAAGGGCAAGTGGCGTGAGGAGGAAGAGGAGGAGGAGGAGCAGCAGAAGGGGCAGGAGGAGGAAGAGGAAGAACAAGTCGGCCAGGGGTACGAGACGATCCGTGCGCGGCTGTCGCGCGGCACGGTGTTCGTCGTCCCCTCCGGCCACCCGATCGTGGTGACGTCGTCCCGCGACAGCACCCTCCAGATCGTCTGCTTCGACGTCCACGCCAACAACAACGAGAGGATGTACCTCGCCGGGATGAACAGCGTGCTGAAGAAGCTGGACCCGCAGGCCAAGGAGCTGGCGTTCGCGGCGAGCGCGAGGGAGGTGGACGAGCTGCTCAACGCGCAGCAGGAGTCCGCGTTCCTCGCCGGCCCGGAGAAGAGCGGCCGCCGCGGCGAGGAATCGGAGGACGAAGACCGCCGCCGCCGCCGCAGCCACCGTGGGCGCGGCGACGAGGCGGTGGAGACGCTCCTGAGGATGGCAGCCGCTGCGGTGTGACGCGCTCCGCGGCGACGAGCGGCGTGGCGAGTGCGTGAGCGGTGAGCCATCCAAGCTGCCGGGCGAGCGAGATGCGGGAGTTTGGCCTCGACGCGTGTGTTGTAGCTTTTGTAATTAGGCGGGAACGAGTGAAATAAGTGGGTGGCTCCCTCTGTGCGACTATCTCCATATAAGTAAATACTGCTACATAAGTAAGAGTTTGCAAATGTCGTTTTTAAATTTCTCCCAATTCCTCGTGGATTAAATGATAAAATATTGGACTGGTCTGATACAAAACGATCGTTTAGTTGGGAGTGGGTTGGAGACGTGATCAACAATAATTGCAACTTGAATTGATTTTGAGTTATACAAGGGAAATGTGTGAGGTCGTGGAAACTATGCCACTGCCTCATTCGTGTCGCCTCACGTGGAGCAACTGGCATCAGCAAAATGGCCCAAAACTACTACGAGCACAAAGATGGGCCATGGCAACCACCAAGATGGGCCTAAGCGGCCGGCACCCCCACCCCCACGTACGCTGGGCCGGCTGTCAGCCCAAGTCGCGTCACGAGATCTAGCTCTCTCCGCTGCCGTCTTGGCAAGCCGCGCGACGCTAGCGCGAGCAACACACACCTCGAGCCGTCGAACCGCCGCGGCGCGCGGCGCGCGGTGCGGGATGGTTTCCGCAACCTGCCAACGTCGCGCCGTCCGATGGGAGGCCGCGGAGCACGGGAGAAGCATAGGGAGGTGGCGCTGGCTGGCGCGCGCGTCTACTACCTGCCGACGCGGCGTCCGCGAAACGACGGGTACGAGATCCACACCCAACCCATCGCCCTTTTCCCTTCCCTTCACCAAAAAGGTAGTAACGGTCAAGGGATGAATTCTTCTTCTGTTACTTTCCAGCAGTAACATGCTGCGTGATGGTAACTACACGCCACACCTCGAGATGTTCTTCTGCCATGCCAGCAGCCCTGATTACTGCTGAAACCGAGGTGTTTATAGCTAATCCCGATGAAATGATTTCACCACCAACTGCTCCTCCTCCCTTGCTGTAGAAGCTTTTCTCTTGGCTTGACAGACCGGGTTAATGAAAAATCAGCCGGTGAAACAAACAAAATGGAAAAGTGGTGGTACTGGGGTAAAAGAGAGGAGGAGGAGAAAAGAACAGGAGTGGTCCAAGCTCGGTTCCCTACTGAGATGCTACTTGGACCTTGGACCAGGGGGTGGTCTCTCTCCCTCTCTTTTTGTTTCCATTCTTTTGAGAAAGCAGCAGCAGGTCTCAGTGAGACATGGGTACTCCTGGCCTGGCCTGGCCTGGCCTGGCCTGCTATTACCAGTACACCAGGGAAGGCATGGCCATGCGAGGCCAAGCCATGCTTGTCTTCTTGGTATGCCATCCTCACCTTGATGAGAGGAGAGTGTGTGTACCGGCATCTGCATCTGAGCCTTGTGCTTTTTGGTGGCTTTGGTGTCCCCACTGCTTTCATGTCCCCTAACCTGCCCACAGTGATTCCTCCCCTATTGCTGCTTTTCCATGGCTTGTTTTCCCCTTCTCATGGTAAAGGAAAAGGATGTGTAGCAAAAAGAAAACGGCTATAGCATACTGCATGGTTGCAGCAGCAGAGGCAGGCAGGCAGCTTCTGTGTGACACCTTTTTCAGCTCCTTGCTTTGTGCACAAGCCTGAGTGAAATGCTGTGTTGTGGTGATCATTTCTTGCAAGCATGAACCATGCCACACTGCAAACACTGCATGATAGCATCAACATTATGCTGTACAAATGATACTGCACTGTTTCTACTTCCAATTAAATATCAGTGCCCAAGGGGCTCTTGTTACATCAGAAGACCAAGAACAAAAAAGAAAGAAAAGCAAAAGAGGAAACAAAGCCTTTCAAGTAGTACAAATGGTGGCGAAGGAAAAAGGAATTCTGTATGATGAAGGGGTATCCAAAAGCACACTGCAAATCAGCTTCAGTTGTTAGTGATTAGCTTATTTCGGAACTAAAACTCTCCTCTTTTTTTTTTGGTTGCTGTTGTAAACTGGTACTCGCGGATTGTTAGATTCAAAACTTTGCTTGACTGCGCAAATCTTCCTGTTGACAAGTGCAAAGATATCTTAGTCATTCAATTTATCTGTACTAATCACACATATGGTAGTGATGTACAAGCAGTCTTGTAGAACATACCTAATTTTACAATTAGAAAGCATCTCCTTGAGTATCTGCATGCACACAAAAGGTCGGAATTGACGTATCAGTCGCAGTAAATTTGCCAAAAGATAATTAAAAAACATATCATGTTCATCATACATTGTGGATGTACTAGGATACATGATGAGGCACAAACACTGAAGGGGGCAAAAGAAACAATAGTTCAGGAATCACCTGTTGGCTGACAATATTCCAATTGCTGGAATCTTGGGAGAAATGAAGTTCATCTGGTGTATTCTGGGACTGAAGAATGTCTGCAATGAACAGATGGAAGTTATGATGAATAGAGCACTTTGGCATGGAATTCAGAGAAGTGGTCAGACCAACAAGCCCAAACAATGCGACTACATGGGATAAAGAACACTAACCTTGGCTCCATCGAGATACACAATCAATAAAAATTGATATCTGTGTAACTGCGTGGATAAGTTGGGTATGGTAGTTCATCCACCCCCATTAGAGAGGTAGAACGAGCAAAGCTGCAAAATTGGGTTTGGCTCGGTATCTGAACCTCCGCAGTGAAAATGCTGTATACAGGCCTGTGATCTGAGAATCTAGACTCGCCGCGAACATAACATAGTTGATTCAGGCCTCTCCCATACCATAGAATCCGGTCGCACCTTCAGAAAAACCATTACAATAAGCACAAGCCAAAAAGGTGAAGGTGTAAACTCTGAAGAAGGGTGAATGGTTTGCTGTAATAATATTTTAACTTACCATGCAGGTGTTCTTCGCTTCTCATTCGGACGCATATCGTCGCCTGCGTATCTGTCAGAATTGTAGGAGTATTTGTATGTGGGAGGAAAATAAATCCTCCCTTCTTTCCAGCCTGAAAATACCCGACCATACCTTTGCTCTATTCGAAGCTGTTACAAAAATGTTCTACATGAGAAGAAAAAGAAAAGGAGACCACATTTTTCGTAGCTACACTAGTTTATTGTAAGAGGCATGACACTGTTAGCAGTTTTTGTAAGAATAGCTAACCTGGTCCTTCTCTAGTAACTGTTTCCAATTGTGCATCTCAACTAGAGCCTTCACCGAACGGTATGAAAGAGCTATTCGGTAATTAAGATCCCCAAGCCATATTATACGACTGAAAAAACAAAATAAATGATAGGCTAAGATTGTTATATCCAATAATTTCAAATTTTGTTCTATTCAACGTGTTTATCCAAGCTGAAACTATTGCAACATGAGACTTACTCATGGTCAAGAATTGTCTCCGGTGACTTCTCGTCACCTACACCATGGACATGTGGGAATCTGGTCTTCCTCAAAATTTCTACAACATCTGCATTTCTTCTAAGTTCATCACCGTCCTTTTGCCCTGAGGTCAAGTGAGTGCAAACAAAGCAGAAGCTTGTCTGATGCAGAGACATGCTGATTGATATCGATCCCTAATTAATATAAGAGAAGAAAGTGAGGACAAATGGAGCTACATAATCATATGTAAACAAACATATGGATGCACATGCAAACAGGATGTCAGGTGAAATTCAATAAGCATAAATGATAAATCATCTACACTTCTTGACAGAAAAGACTAACGTATCTGCAAAGATTGATGAGTATAAGATTTAAGTAGCACACAATTACGAGAAATGGAAAAGCGGAAAACGATACCTTATTTCCGAGATATCCCATCAAACCTCTGCCAACACATGAAACCTTCAAGTTCTTCACATGTTCCCTTATATCACTTCGTACCCAAACCATGAGAAAAACACCAACCATTTGCTTGCTGGCAACTAGGCAATATCTGCTATATTACAGAAAACTCTATTTTCAGGGCAAATATTTGTATCATTCCAGTGATGAAGGATGGAAGGAATTTCAGTGAAATGTTAATAGTATAGAAGTGCCAGCTACAACAGCTAGCAAGTTTCAGAACGACTGTATCTTCAGAGTCTCATGGAAACCTACCTAGTGTTTATCAACTGTCTTTTGTTATCATCATAGCATAGTGGAGCACCATAACCGTATGGCATTGGTGAGATGTATATACCACTAGGTGATTCCTCGTCAATATTCTCATCATCAGATGACCCACCATATCTCATACTGGTGTCAACATCACTTGGCCTACTCCCAAAGCTAATCCGGTCACAAACACTGAAACGACGATCCACTAATGAGTGGGGATCCATCATGTCAATTCTTGAGCTTCGGTTGAAGGACTGGAATGAACGTCGATGGAAGAAAGATGAATTCCTTGGTCTTCTTGATGATCGTTCAAAATCAACATTGAGCTCAACAATAGGATCTGGAACCGGCGAAGGGGTGTGGTAGTTGTACACAACAGAGCCTTGGTCTATATTGTTTAGCGTTTTTCTAACAAGTGCGACCCATTTCTTTGCTGGACCATTGTCTTCGGTCAATAGGACATTGCCAGCATTCAAAGGAACAATTTCCTGTAACCTGGTACGATAAAAAAGTGTTAATAGTTTTCTTTTTATGCATGCTAGATCTTTTTTAGATGAACAATATTTTGTAAAGAAAACACAATATGATTTAAGTCACTGCATGAATCTGGATTGTACCCAATGACATATATATCAGCAGCCGGAGAAGTATGAAGCCAGTCTTCCAAATTCAAATGACTCGATGGTGACCTTCCACCCACATTCCATGTTGCAACAAAGACCCTGTGCATACGAGCATACGGAATGTCAAATCAGAGAAATTCCCTAACAACGACTACTGGATCGATTAAGTTCTAAAAAGGCACAATCTATTTACCTGTAGTCTTGTGTATTTGTGATATAAGCACGGTCAAATCCATTTCCTACCCGGGAATCTCGATCCACACTCTTCCTAGGCAACCTCTCTGAGTAAACACATCACTAATACAGTCAAGCATAGGACAATGTTGACTGGAGGTTCCAGTTCAGTTTTTACTCAAATACAAAGGTAAGAGATGTGAGAATACAATATTTACTGTGATGAGGCAAGCAAAATGTACCTGTTCTGCTTTTCTTGGATTTGCATACATCTCTCTCTGAGAAACTGGTTCTCCACTGGACACCTACTGAAATGATCAGAAAGAGGTTTTTAGCACCACCACGCCAAAACAAAATTCTTTCTGTAGGTCTCAAGCATGCTATGGCTGTTTCTGAAACAATAAATAATATCTCACTATACAAGAGAACTGGAAGCAAGTGCTCAGACTTGCTTCTGGAATTCGACACACTGTTAGTACTGAACACCAAAATACAACAATTTACGACTGTGAAAAGGATACCAAAGAATATAAGGAGAAAAACAAACACCTGGTAACTCAAGCTCATTAATTCAGAAGTGAGAGTGGTGGTATTAAGTCAATAAGTTGTACCTTCTTCAACTGCATAATCTGAATGGAAGTCCTTGGCTTTTGTTTTGATGTTGAACCACTTCCTAACAAAGGTCTTGGACCAGGATAGCTTCTTCCAGGCCAGTTCAGAACAAAAACAAGATCAGAAACAATCAGGACAAAAACAATATAAATATAGATATTATGAACAGACTAGCTCTTGCTCTGTGGCACCCTTACCTTGGTCTTGATTGAATTCTCATCTCTCATTGTCTCAATGCCTCCTCATACAGCTCCAGGGATGCTTCTTCCCTCCTCAAACCACCAAAATCCAAACCATGCCTCCAATTGCTCCTCTCAGAGCAGTATATACTAGTGGAATGAAAGGGGGAAGAACAGGATTCTGTTTCTCCCTATCCCAGAGAACTTTTTCCCCTTGCTTGGAAGATTCCAAGCCAGCTCCTGATATTCCAAACTGTGAAAAGAAGAACAAAGGAATCCCCAACTCCAAGAGTTCCTCTGCTAACCGTGTAATGAACTAATGATCCAAGCAGTATCTCGAAGGGGAGCAAAGAATCCACCGCAGCAACCCAAAACCGAATTGATGGAGAGCAAGATAAACCAGTCACTTGGGCAGGAACATCAAGAACGGCAGCCACCGAAGAAGAAAAAAACCGCAAGATTTCAGGAACTAAACCAGGAGTAGGATCAAAGATAGCCGAGAGACTCCGGGAATGGTCAGCCCCACGCAGTAGCCAACAAGCTCACCATGACAGGGATCAAATCAATGCCAGTGGAAGTTAATGCCTCCGGCCTGCTGAAACGACCAGGGGGGCAGCAGTAGTAAATGGCCGTAGCACCTGAATCCAAGGAAAACACGCGGTGCCGAGGACACACACACACGGATGCGACCACCTCAAGCAATGCAAGAACCCAACCCGGGGCAGCTCAGCTCAGGATTTGAAGGACCGGAGAGGGAAAGAGGGAGGAGATGCAAGGTGGCTGGCGCAGAGGACAGTGCAAGGAAGGACACACTGAGCTGTGCAGCTGTGCCTGTGCAGCTGTGCTAGTGTGCTTGCGCTCTCCGTTGCCCAAGGAGACGAGCAGCTGGAGAGAGGAGGGAGTAGAGTAGCAGCAGTAGGAGTACTGAGGAGTGAGGGCCTGAAGGGGCAAAGGAGGGCCAAAATATGAAGGGGAATAAAGCGAAGAGGGCTGGGGGCCTGGGGCTTGCCTCCTCTTCGGTTACTGCTGCTGCTCCTTGCTTTCACTTCTCTATATGCCTTTGCTCTTTAGCTCAAAATCCAAAGCAAAGCCTGTGGTTTTTGGCTAGGGTTAATGGAGTTTCCAGGGGCTTTTCTTTCTCGTTGTACGCTGGAATTCGTTTGCTAATATGAGAGTTGTTATCTGAACGTCTAAGAAAAAATTGATGGTGCCATTTCAAAAAGGAGGTGATGAGACCGTGGAAAAATGTATATATTTAAGATAGTTTATTGGCTAATACTTTTCTCTTCTCAAGAAGACGCGTAATTGGATAACAGTAAGCATGGAGTTATTATTCGTCCAATAATAATTTTCTTTCTTGGTACATACTGAAAATAATGTGTTAATATGCGAGTCGTCCTTTTAATATCTTAAAAGAATTCCAATAGTATCATTTTAAGTATGAAGGGATGAAATTGTGGAAAAGAAGTGGATGAAAAAAGATAGGTCGTTGGCATAATATTTTCAGCAACAAAACATATCATAACTTATTTAAAAGTAACGGTAAAATTGTTATTCGTCTAACCAAATAATTTGTCAGGACTTGTATGTCCTTATTGTTTTACAGGTTTTTCAACTGTTTACATTATCTAACAAAGACTTATACAACAAAGATTAAAATATTCCACATATATGATGTTGACACAACAAATAAGCTTGAGCCTCACTCTATTTATAAAAGCACACTCTGCTCTTGAAAAAACACGTACGTCATCGTGAATTATCGCCAAACACGTATATATATCATGGCATAGTACCAACAATAGATAATGTAAATAGTTTTTTTCTTAATGGCTCTTAGTTTCCTTTTTAATTTGTGATAACCATGGCTTACTTGTAAGAGTGCCAAGACGTATGCAAGCGATGGTGCTAGAATTTGTTAGATCGTATTTATAATTATTCGTACGGTAAAAGTACATGAGAGACTACATGTTGTCATCTATACTGAAATTTTTACAATTTGGTCCTTTTTGAAAACTTATTTTACAAATAGACCCCTGGAAAAATTTAAACCGGAAATGGTCCTTTTTGGGGCGCCAGAGTGGCTGGCGCCGTACCCCAACATAGCGGCGCCAGCCACACTGGCGCCGTGCCCGTGCCACCGTGGCACTAGGGCTGTCGTGGAGGTGCTGACTGGGCAGAAAGGGGGCGCCAACCACACTGGCGCCGCCCCTCATACCACGGCGCCAGCATAGCTGGCGCGCCCCTCCTCTGTGGGCCGACCCTTAAACCCCGTGGGCCCCACCACCTTTCTCCTCCCCACTCCCATTTTCGCCATTCCCAGCCCGAGCAGCGAGCTGCTGTTCTTCTCCCTCTCTCTCCCCCTCACCTCTCCACCTCAAATCCACTCAATTTGAAGCCGTTTTTCGCGGGATTTTTTGTGGAAATCGAAGAGAAAGGTAGACTCCTTCATTCTCCCCTCTTTTTTTTCGTTTTTATTGGTTGAATTTGTAGATCGGTGGGTAACCCTAGAACCCCTTTTTTACCCAAATTTGTGATTTTTAGCATTTGTTCTTAGGATTGGCTTGTTGTAGTGCTACATGTTTGCATTGTACTCATTGGTGTCATGATTTTTTTAACCATATATGTGGTAATGTTAATTTTTGGATGGTTTGGTTGGATGGATGGATGAAAAATTATGGTTGAGGCATGACGGAGGTTTGGGTTGTATGATGGAGTATTTGTAATATTTCGATGTGTAATGCAGTAGTAAACTTGTTGATAGTTGTAGGTGGATTAAATATTTTTTTGGAGTAGTAGCTTTGGGACAATTTAAGTTATGCATTGGTTATAATATGTCGGTTTGGACTACGTTTAGGAATGAAGATTTAATTTTTGTTGCAAAGTTACATTTGATTTTTTGGTGTAGATGGATAGACTTGTTAGTGTTTACTACGGTGGTAGAGTGGTGGAACCTTATGTTGGTGGACATGTTGAGTTTGAGGATATGTCATTGAAGACCATTTTGTTTCCCACCCACCCAACTCTAGATGAACTAAGGTCACGAGTGAAAGAAGTTCTTGGATGGACCGAGGATAATGTGGAGATTCGTTTTTATGGGAGATACGATGTTGGTCAAGGGCATAAGTATATATTAAATGTGATAGGTCAGTTGGAATGGGAAGTTTACTTTGATTTGGTAAAAGAGTCTCAGTTTAGATCTCTAGAGGTGTTTGCATCAAAGTTAGTTCGTACCGTAGAAAATTTGGATCTAAACAAATCTCCTTCTTATCATTACGTTGAGAAGAATTTTGTGACATATTATTCTCGTCGTGGAGGGGGTGCAAGTAAGAGTGAGTTGGTACGAGAAGACTTGGAGGGGGAAGGAGAGAAGAAGAGACCTTTGCTTGGAAATGATTTATGGGAGGCAGGACCATCAAAGAGACATTGCGGTACTGATGATGTGGATGCAGCGAGGGTGATGAAAAGGGAGTTAGTACAAGAGGGGCTTGATCTAAGTGAACATTTGTCGGCGAGTGTTCATTGGTCGTCGTACGGAGTCAACCCTGAATACCCGACAGAAGTAGCAGGCCAATATATGAATCCAGATGATTACTTTGATGTCGAATTGAGTGGTGGTCACGATTCTGTCTCAGTAGAAGTCAATAGAGATGATGTTGACGAGGAGGCAAGTGTTGAGCAATATGATGTTGAATTTGCTGAAGACTCTGATGATGACCGTCCATTCCCTCCACTTACTAATAATGACAAGTTAGCATTAGAGGAATGTCGTGCGTTTGAGAAGGTGTTTGGGAGGAAGCCGGACATTCCTGAGTTTAGAGACCTAACACATGCCCATGGTGCACTACTAGATGGCGGTATCAACCTAGATCAGTTGCCAGAACCATTCCAGGTGGATGGTCTCAGAAAGGGTTTAGAGTTCCCATCCATGGTCGCATTGAAGCTATGGCTCCAGGAGTACGCCATCGTGCACCATCGTCCATACCGTGTTGTCAATTCTGCCGCAAATAGGAGGTACACTGTTAAATGTGAAAACCCACGGTGCAAATGGAAGGTCCATGCAACTAAGAGGTCTAGTGGCACGTGGAGGATATCACGGGTAGGTAAGGAACATAGTTGTGCTACTGCCGAAGGTTCAGGGAGCCACCGGCAGCTGACATCAAAGTTCATAGCAAATAGGTTATGCAATGCCATAAAACTGCAACCTACACTCTCTGCTTCTGCATTAGCTTTGTATATATTTAAGGTTTTCCAGTATAGGGTGAAGTATGGCAAGGCTTGGAGGGCACGAGAGGAGGCTATGAAGCTCATTTACGGTGAATAGGGTGAAGCGTATGTCCGTTTGCCCACCTTGCTGCAAGCCATTAAGCAGAGGAATCCCAGTATGGTCTACCACGTCGATACTCATCCTGATAGGGTTGTCAACGTTGATGGAGTGACCAAGAAAATTTTTATGCGTGCATTCTGGTGCTTTGGTCCTTCCATTGAGGCTTTTAAGCATTGTAGGCCAGTACTAGCTATAGATGCAACCTTCCTAACTGGGAAATACGGTGGTGCCTTGATGACTGCATTATCAGCTGATGCAGAGGACCAACTTGTACCTTTAGCTTTTGCCTTGGTGGAGAAAGAGAATTCACGAGACTGGTGCTGGTTTATCGATCTTGTCCGACGGGTTGTTGTTGGGCCGCATAGGGAGGTTTGTATTATCTCAGATCGACATGCTGGTATAATGAATGCCATGATGACTCCTGTTCCAGGATTGCCATCGGTTTACCACCGGTGGTGCATGAGGCACTTCAGTGCTAATTTCCACAAGGCCGGTGCGGACAAGCATCAGACAAAAGAGCTCCTAAGGATATGTCAGATTGACGAGAAGTAGATATTTGAGAGGGATGTTGAGGCACTAAGGCAGCGTATTCCCGAAGGTCCTCGTAAATGGCTTGAAGATGAGTTGTTGGATAAAGATAAGTGGTCTCGTGCATACGATAGAAATGGCCGCCGGTGGGGTTACATGACAACCAACATGGCCGAACAGTTCAATAGCGTGCTAGTTGGTGTTCGTAAGCTTCCAGTGACAGCCATCGTATCATTTACGTTCATGAAGTGCAATGACTACTCTGTGAACAGACATGATGAAGCTTTGAAGCGAGTCCAGTTAGGGCAGCGTTGGTCCACCAAGGTTGACAGTAAGATGAAGGTGCAAAAAAGTAAGGCGAACAAAGCTTCAATGAGCCGGTTGGAAGGCCTAAGTGGAGACAAAGCTTCACTCCTTGGCCCTACAATGAGCCAGACATGGAGAAGACAGTGGCCTACCTTTTTGAGAGTACTGCCACTGCACATGCTCACCGGGATGTGGCATACAAGCATTATGTCAATGAGATGGACTGCTTGCAGCCTCAACATGTAAGTACTTCCAATATCACTTCTAGTTAGACATTTACTTCTTTAATTGAGATACTAACCAACGACATCTCTTCAACTTTTGCAGATTGAGTGGTTACCATACCACACAAATGAGGCTTCAAGCCTGACCCTGAACTCGATGTGCAATCGAGACTCTGACTATTTCATGTACCAGTGCCCATTGATTTGTTTCTGGGCAGTTGAGTACCACCTTCCGCACCGTGTCATGCGACAGTTCGGAAAGAAACAAGATTGGCCGGTTGAGGACATCTCAATTGGAGTTGAATTACACAAGTAAATATTTCTTATCTTTGTTTGCTTTCATTGTCAATGTTCAATTTTGTACCATTTAACCCTTGTCGATGCTCACTATTGTTTCATCACCTTCTACTTGTCTAGGTATGACAGGGTGAGAACAAAGAAGGTGAAAGACTGGGGGCTAGAGCATAATAGATACATTGATGAATGGAGAACAGCCGGAAGGAACGATAGGTACATCGAGACTATACACCAAAATCATCTTTTCTCAGAGTACCTTCGTTGGCTGTATAGGACATATAGACTGTTCCTCCGCCCTACTTGGACG